TTAGCCTTAAAAATAAATCTTGCCTTGCCAGGGTGATATGGTATTAACAGAACATTATCTTATGTTCAAGCATTTTTTCCTGTACTATTCGTGGTTATAATAAAACCTCACTCAGTATCAGCTCTATCAGAGTACAGAATATCAGATATGTTCTCAATTCAAACAATTTAACTAGAATTAGCTTCACTATTTTTACTTAACAGTTTAGCAGCTCTGGAAGGAAATGCTATAGGGATTGGGGGAAAGAAAAAAAAAAAAAGAAAAAGGAAATCTGTTTTGTAACTTTTCAAATGTGTGTTGAAAGTGACACAAGTTTAGGCTGTGCCCTGACTTGAACCTCACACAACTCCAGGCTCCAGTGAAGTATGGAATGGAGTTTGGACTGTGTCTGGTTACCTCCAAGCTGTATGAAGACAGTCAAAATGTCCCCTGAAGCTCACAGGTTTATACACTACTTGCACATGTATTTATTAACCCCTGAGCTTACCTTTGTATCTTTTCAGGTTGAAAAGTAGCACTTTATGAAGCAAACCAAACCCAAGAGTTTGCACCAGGCAAGGAAACATTGGCAATATTTACACTCAACTTTTTCCCCCTATCAAGAGATAGTTTGCTTTAGGAGAGTCTCCAGCAGGTCTCTCTTCTGAAGTCTTACTCCATCCTTTTTATTACTTTTTTCATCTCAACAGTTCCCCAAAAAAAGTTAACCTCCATCTCTAGCACTGAACCTCAAAATCAATTCTAGTTGTTAGAAGAGTAACACAGGCACAAGGACTCAGATGTTTTGGAGTAAGAACTACAACATCAATGTTTGTTGCTTGTACAACCAGGGAGAACCTGGAGCTGTTCATAACCACACAGGAATCTGATATAATTCACCACAAGAATCTTCCTTCTTTCCAACCTTCTTCACCCCAAAATTTATCTCTTTTCTTATAAGGCATATTTGCTTTACCAAGAGTCTCAAAGTGCTCTGCAGCTGGAATTTAAAGCCTCAGAAAGTAATTCTTGCCTACTCTATGCTAGGTATAAAGCTAAGTCTTCTGGAATATACACTAATTTAATAAGCAGCAGCTTCTGGGGACTGTGTGTATTTTTAAGCTGTGGAGGACTTACAGATACAGTAAGAGATGACAAGAACCATCATTCAGCAATTCAGGGAAAAGAGGAACCCCTGTGACCATGCTTTGGTCAATTACTGACTGCAACAAACCAACTTTCATTTATTAAATTACAGAAACTCAGCTATACTCTGTGTCTAAACCAGAAAATTTTAGACAGGAGAACACAACAGAAGTGAGCAAAGCTCATTTTTGTTCCCAAATGTGCTTCTATGAAAAATAAGCAATTTGCAACCAGTTTATGCCAATTTATTAGACTGAACTTCATACAAAACTCCTTAGAAATAAGGCCATCTTGGTGTAAGTTTCTCTTGAAGACATTACTTTAACCCAGCAAACAAAACCTCAACTAAATCAAAGGGTATGTAATCTATCAAGACAGCTCTTGGTTACAACTTTGGCGTGCACCATCCCAGAGGGTTCCTGTTCACTGTACTTTTTCCATCACCTCCGCTTAAGTGGACACAGAAGAAGGTTTTCCTAACATGTAGTTAAAACTCCTGCCTGCATTGTCTCTGAGCAAACAAGGACTACAGACTGTGCTACATCTGAAGAGTGTTAAGACAGCATTTATGTGGAACTTGTTAGCTACTAGGCATAAAGATGGGTAATTCCCAGCAAGTGCTCTATCCTACCTGAATGCACAATGAACCCCAAGAGACACCTAAGACAGGTTATCCACCACCTGAGGGACAGTCCAATTCAGGTTACTCCATATTTACTCCAAGGTCACAATGCAAATCTGCAGTTTCACCCTATTAGTTAGTCAAATAAACCAACTTCTCTTTCCTTTGTTGACAGATCAATTAAAAAAGAAAATCTCTTCCAGAAGCTTTATTTTACAAGGTCAAGAGCAGACTGAATAGTCTATATAATAACAGTCAAACTCTACAAACAGCCTAAGGAACCAGAACAAAAAGTGATGATATAAACCATTATTGCACTGTCTTGCTAAGCTGAACAGGTTGTTTTTGATAGGTTCAAAACTACTGAAAATACCAAATAGCCTTGGAAATGGTTCAATGCTACTTATTCACTGGGAACTCCTTCAGTGGTAAGAGGGAAATATATTCCTTCACTTCCTCCAAACTGCAATATCAATCTAACAGCTCCTACAACAGAGTTACCTCTGAGTCAGACTCACATAGAGCTACTGTGAATTAGCAAAGCTGTTAACAGCTTTAAATACAAGTATTTTGTAATGGAAGACCTGAGAAATTTGTTCAAAATTAGCTATCAGCATAGGGGAGAAACCTATCACCTGGCTGTTTATGCCACTTGGTTGCAAGATATTTGCCTGGACACACAAACGTCATTGGCACTTTGCCTAGAATTCCATAGTCAGATATGTATCCCAGCACGAAGTGCTCTGTCTCTTCCCTACATGGTCATCTTTTTGCAAACACCATGTCAAAGGCCATCACAATCCTCCTACCCTTGAGGCACAGGCATGCACAGAGTCTCTCTCACCTCCAGGTCTTGACACTAACACCAGTACATGGTGTATGGCTCTTCACTTGCTCAGTAGCTTTTCCTAGTTTGATTACAATTCAAATCTCATCACTGTCTTGCTACAATTATTGTTTTAGTATCAGAGTTTGTATCAAAATAAAGCAATTATTTCTCTATTAAACATCCACGACTTACACTTCAGCTACCTTCACTTGAAGTTGCAGTTGATTCCATTTGCCAATATAAGAAAAATACGGTGAGTGTTTAAGTCTGGTTTGGGATTGTTTGACCCACCAGTTTAAGTGAGTATTTTAGAGGATCATAATATGTTAAGGGGTTGGAATGGACCTTAGAGATCATCTAGTCATTTACCCAGTATGGGCTTCTCCAGTCAGACACCAAGCCAGAGCACCTATCTTAAAGGACAGCCATAAAACCTGTAGAATTCCTGTTTCTCTACATGAACATACTAGTTTTAGCATGTCCTTTTTAAAAACAAATCAGTTCTACACATGTTGGACTATCAGGCAGTGCTCTACAAGCAGATTTTAAACTAAAACAGCAGTAACCCCATGATTAAAGGATACTGTGCCTGTTAAAGACAGCCTGGTGTTACAAGCATGCTAGTCAGTGGATATTCCCAATTCATGTCTCTCCTTCAGGCATAGGGCTTTGAAAGAGAGTAATTGGGTTTATTGCTACTGACAGTATACAGCAGGTAAGTAAAAGCCCACACATCCCTCAGGTGTTCACATAGAGAATAAAGGCAAAGCTAAATTTGCAAGATCAAAATGCAATCTGTGCCTCTCCTGAAATAGCAAAGAATCAAGCAGAAAATGTTCTGTGCTCTAGACACCTGATAGGGCAGCAAAATCCAGCATTTTCCTCACTGGGATACCCCAAGCCAGCGTAAAACACAGTTATCAATGTGCAATTCTACCAATAGTGCTTTAAAGTACCAAAAAACACAACCCCAAATGCATTTCCATGATACAAACTGCTTCCAAAACCACCATTCCATTGCTGACATTTAAAAACAGGAAAAGGCTTCGGACTAGACATCTACTGCAGATTCTGTAATTCATGCAGTGCTGTTTGCCTGAAAAGGACACAAAGCACCAGCTGCAGATCTGATCTCCCTGCAGAGCACACGGTTTGGGCTGTACAGAAACAGTGAGTCAGAGCAAAGCAAGGGACGAGGAATCACAATTTCCCGCTATTTCTGCTATCAGCACTTTGTACTTGCAGCTGAATCATCCTGTGCACAGAACAGAGGCTTGAGACAGGGCTCGGGGAATGTTACAAGTTTTCCAAGGAATGAAAGCTGGGCAGACAGCCAACACCAACTTCATTTTGAGTGCACACTCTCTGCCTGCTAATTAAAACAGGGGGATAGTCAAGTTTAAGAGTATATATTTATCTCCTCTGGAGACAGTACCACCTCTAAAATCAAAGTGACACTAATGCAAAGCAAGTTTGATGTACACCCTAAACTGTTCCCACAGGAATAACCACTCAGTTAACAGTTGATAATGGCCTACAAAGTGTGAGTATGCAATCTCTTTTGACACTTAACAAGAACCACCTAGTTTTAGCTGGGAAAGAAAAGGAAACATAAAAGTCAATGATAAGTCCAGTTTAGAGAGTTATTGGTACACAACTATCGCGAAAATCATGGAACTTTAGCACAAAGTACAACACTTCTATTTTTGCATCCTTCCGAATAAAGATACATCTTTTAAGGTAACGTGAGATATTAGAAAGCTCAAGGCAAAAGTCCAACTTTTTAAAACTGGCACTTCAAATGCTTCAAACAGGAAACTGCTCTGCATAGTTATGTTTGTGGTCTCCTACACAGCAACAGGCAAAGGAAGCAATAAAGAACTATGAAAGATGAGAAAACAGTGATGTCACGTGCCAGTCACACTAGCTGAGAAGACAGAAGACATTTGTGAAGAGAAGCTGAAAGGCAGCTGCTACTACAAGCGTAAGAGTTGGAGAAACACGTTGAGATGAAAAAAGGGTGCCTAAAACCATCTCTGCACTCCCAAACCAGAGGAAACTGAACACATTTAAAACCAAGGAAGAGTATTTATGATAGAAAACCAGACAAGTTATAAGACACTCTGAAACCAGACATCAGAAAACAACATTTTAGAGTCCTGACAAGTATTAAAACCACCACTGCAATGAAGATGCTTTGCTTTTAGATGCACCAATTAACCTAAGTGGCAATTCGAAAAGCAATCCCCAGTGCAAATGCAAATTTAAGGTAATTACAGATGAAGAGAAACAAGATTGTTCATAAGTGAAGCATATACTTAAGAGTCTTTGAAAACTCCCTCCAGGGCCTCAAATCATTAAGACAAAGCCACCACAACAATTTTACATTAATATGGTAATACATATTACATAAATGGGACTTACCTGCCACTTCCACAATATCTCCTGGGACAATGTCTCTTGCTTTAATCCTCTGGACACTTTTTCGGTCCTGTCGATACACCTTGCCCATTTCTGGTTCATATTCTTTAAGAGCTTCAATAGCATTTTCAGCATTTCTTTCCTAAAAGACAGCAAAAATGTGTCATTTTAAAAGTCCTCAAGGAATAACATATCCATCAGATCTCATTTTTCCAATGCATTACCATATGAATACAACCAATTCAGCTCAGCTCCGTATCTTCATACAGAACATTTTGTGACTCCTCCCCTTGGAAAGTTGCTGACAGGAAATCTTTACAGCATAATTCAGGTGTCTATGGGTATTTACAATCTAGAAATTGTTCACTCAAGCCCTGCAGCATTTCCCACCAGGTATATCCGCTGTGTGGTTGCAGGGAGGCCACATAAAGAGTTCTGTGTAGCATATGGATGTTTTTTGACATAAAAAAGGTACTAAGCAGAATTAACCCTCATGGATACAAGTCTTGGCTGTGCCTTTCCAGCTGGAGCGGCTTAGACTCAGACCGGAGTGGACTAGCACTACTGAATTTCACCTACTGACAGAAATCAAGATCAGGTTAAGACAAAGTTCAAACATCTATTATCAACTGTGTTTCAACAAATCAAGTCACACTAAAGTGAAATTAAAGCATACGGACGAGAAACTTTCCCAGAGTCTCCCAGCAATTTACCAGCTTGGATGAAACCCCACACACGACCAACCTTCGTACTTCCACTAGCACAGTAACTTTCCTATCTCAACTGCAACCCTCTCACTAAGCACTAGCAGAGATTGGTATCAATATTGTAATGGCATCTAGATAAAGAAACCAGCAGCTTATCAGTACTCCTTCTCCAGATCTTGGAGAAGGAACTGGTTTTCCATGTTACTGCCTATTGACAAGTACAAATGTCACTTGTCCCTGATAATTACACGTAATGGGGAGGGTGCACAGAGCTTTTGGAACCTCTGCCCTTCAAATACAAACTGGCATTTCCAGATAATAAAATATTCCTCCTACATATGTCAAAGCAGAAACCCAACCATCAGAAATTCAAAGGTTGAGGAACTTGGTACTTCTACGTAAAGATGCAGCTGAAAATGAGCATTACTCAAACTACCTGGAGTAACTAATATTTCACAGCTCAGTGCAGATACCAGCACACACCCATCGAGCTGTAATTTATATCAACCTCATATTCCACCAAGTATTAATTCTGCTCCTCAGCACAATAATGCTGATAATGCTTTTCTGGGGATTAACTAAGAGCTAACATTAGGTGAAACTCTAAAGGCACAAACTAAAGTCAAACAAATGAAATGTTACTGCAATAAAACTTTTCCTTCAAAAAGGAGAAATAAAAAACAAGACAACAAGAGGACCCAAATGACCAAGAAGGCCAAGGGCACGCTGGCTTTTATCAGAAATAGTATGAACAGCAAGACTAGGGCAGGGACTATCCCCCTGTGCTAGGCACTGGTGAGGCACCTCCAGTCCTGGGGTCAGTTTTGGGCCCCTCATGACAAGGAGGACATTGAGGTGCTGGAGCATGTCCAGAGAAGGGAATGGAGCTGGGGAAGGGTTTGGAACACAAGCCTGATGAGGAGCATCTGAGGGAGTTGGAGACTCAACCTGGAGAAAAGGAGGCTCAGGGGAGACCTCATCACTCTCTATAAGTGATAGGACAAGAAGAAACATCCTCAAGTGGCACCAGGGGTTTCAATCGGACATTAGGGACAATTTCTCCTTCAAAAGAGTTGTCAGGCATCAGAACAGGCTGCTCAGGGAAGTGTTTGAGTCACCATCCTTGAAGGCACCCTTATGGACATGGCTTCAGCCAGGACAACCAGCTCAGTGTGCTGGACTCTGTGTTTGGTGGAATTTAGGGCAGTACAGGCTCTCCTGTCAGCCACTGAAGCACTAGCAGATGGCTCTTTGGGAAAAGTGCACGTGAGAGGAAAGGTTGAAGGTGGCAGAGCCACAGGAATGACTCAGCGGCTCACATCTAGTACCTGTAGGAACAGATACATTCATGGGTGGAGACTGTGTCCTGTGCCTTATTTTCCATGCCCATTAAAACAAGAGAATGAGTCATTCAAGCCATGCCGCAACAACTGTTTCACAATGAAGTTCGCTGCATGTAGAAATACATAGATATTCTTTGCATACTGTCATGTCTGATAAAATTGGTTATTTCCTACAATAGAGTATGCAACTACGCAAGAAAATCCCCAAACTACAGAAAGCTTTATCTTGCTTTTTGTGCTTAAAATGAGTACCTGCAGAATTTTAACTCAGAGTTGCAAGTTAAACATTAACTCTTGCACAATTACTTTATGAAGACTTGAATTGAAAATGACACTTAAGGGGGCAATGCTGTCACCTCTTGATCAACATTCCCTCTTCCATTCACACCAGCTCTAGCAGCTGTGCAGCAAGCTGGGAACTGCCAAAAACTGAAGTTTTTGAGGGTAAGTCTTCAGCTTACTTGGGCTAGCACAAGGCAGAGCACAGGAACCTGCAACAATGACACTTCTTACAGCAGTGAGACTGCAGCTAGAGTCCCCTCTAGCATGTTTTAACCTGTTACCAGGGCTCCTCCTCCTCATTTTTACTGTTATTTTGGACAGTTTGCTTTCTTTTTTAGACATGAAACCTAATGTACTAAAATAGCAAGTAATTATGTCACATTGGCACCATCCCTTTAAAAAAATGCAAAACCAACCAACCTTGCAAAGAACTTAAATTACTTTAAAAATCCTAAAGTAATTTTTTTTCGTGCAGAAAAACAATTCCAATAGAATATGCCCTGTCTGAAGTGATCAATTTATTAAACTGAAATTATATGAGCCATTTTACCTTGGCATCTCAGGAAGTGTTAGATTATGTCACCGATATAATTGTCTCCACAATTTACAGAAAGACAGGTAATACATCTCACAGGTGATAATGTAAGAAAACTTCATGGTATTTAGATATTTTTAGAAGAAACTTCTGCCTTTTGGCAGACATGCTGTGTTTGGATGTACACTTACTAGGTACTTACAGCGACTGAACAGGGAGAATTAATACTGCATTAATAACATAGTAAAACACAGCAGTTGTCTCAAGAAGAAACACACAAGAAACCAGATTACAAGCACTCCATCCTTTATCCCTTAAATTGGGAAGAAAACCCCAAGCAAGCTGATCCAATCCTTTGTAGCTTTGCAGCATCTGATTCATTTCCTGAATTCAGGCCTCCATTCTGGGCTGTCTAGTTCATGTGCTCACCAGTGTGTGGCCAAACACACTGATGGCACTTTGCCTTTTTGGCAATACTTCTGAAGCTTTCATTTTACCTTTAAGTCAACACTTTCTGTGGAGAAGCTTTATGAGATGCTGAGTCTCAGCAATCTAAAGTTAGCAACACATCTCATTTGCTCTGTATGAAGTACTCAATGCTATAGTGTACTCCTAAACCATAAAACTCCCAAACATTTCTGATCTGAGGTGTAAAAATCTGTGCATACCTGCCATACTCCCACAATTGCATTGGCTACTAGGATAAGTAATATTACAAAAGGTTCTACAAATGCAGTGATTGTTTCTTCACCTTCTTCAAACCAGGCCAGGACCTGTAAGAGAAACACAATGATTTAAATGACTGATTCACACAGACACTTTGCAAACTTTATGCCCATTAAGTTTCAGCTTGAGAGGTTCAACTGCTTAAATTACTTAAGCAGAAATCCCTCAATGTACCAAGTTGTAGTTCAGCAATTCATGAATGAGCTGGCAATATGCAATGGAAAAGGAGAAAAGGATTCCTTACTAAAGTAGTACAAAGTTCATTTTCAAGGCTGCTGTTCTTTTAAAGGAATAAGCTATTTATTTGGGAAACAATTGCTACTGTTGCTTCAGAAATGAAAGCAGAAGTTGTGACAACAGCTGTGACAGTAAAAAAATGTGGAATCATTACTGTATAAAACAGAATGCAAACTGGCTAGTTTGACTGCTTAAAACACTAATACCTTGCCAGAACCTGAATTTTAACCAAGTTAATTACCCTTTACCAGTAACTTAAGACACACAAATGAAAACAGCTTTACAAGTTTTTGGTGAATAGACATGAACAATAAGCATTTACTTATTCAAATAGAACTAGTGTCTTACTGAAGCACCTAAGTCAATTGTATAGTTGTATCTGAAGCTGAATTCTGAGCTGAGAAGCCGACAAAACTGGACTTTAGGAGGTAAAGCAACTTGAACACTTGCATCAAAGGTTCCACATAGACTTTATTTTAATTCATTTGCTTTAAAAGTCCACCCTAGTTTTAAGGCTTCTGTCATTCACTTGACTTAAGTGTGTCAGGGCCTCTGCAGAGTTTGTAGTCACTGCAGAAAAGTCAAGCTAACATGACCAGAGAGGAAGAGCTTTTTCATCAACATGTTGAGCAACAGGAAGCCTGGAAAGTGACAGTAAATAGGAACAACGTGTTGAGATAATTACGGCTGGTAGTCAGGCAACAGCACTCTGAGTCACTAGAAGACTGCAGAGAGCGAAGTGCTAGTAAAGCAAACGCAGTAATTCCACCAACACGCGGCTCAGAGCCACTGCTCGGCTGGGAGACACTGCAGGACATCCAGGGGAAGGAGCAGCAGCAGGAAAGCCTCAAGGAGAAAACATTCTGTCAGGCAAAGCCAGTGCAACAACAAATTTTTATTGCTACAGTATAAACTTGTAAGATCCAGGCTGAGATTAAGAGGACTGAAACATTCCAACTGGCAACAACGTCGCAAGGGGCTGTGTAATCCCTCTGGGGAAGAGATTTCTTCAGGACCTCTTACTGCTCTCCATGTCTCAGTGTTGCTTCCCTCCTCCCACACCACTAACCTCCAATCCCCTCTTCCACCTTCTGCCATTTGACCTGCTGGAGCAGACAGACCGCACCATCACCTGCACCCCACACATCCCCTTGTGCCATGGGCAGCCTGCACTCTGCCTCCCACCGAGTTACAGATTCCAGATTTCTTAGCAGAGACAAGGTCACACACTGACATCAAAAAAAAAAAAAAAAAAAAAAAGCTTAGTATCCATTTCTTCCTTCCCTTTTTTTATTGGAATTCTGTAGAGCCCATTTTGCTTTCAACAAAGCAAGTAAATTCAATTACTTTGCGATGTTCTTATTTGAACAGGCACCTACAAGGTTAACTGGAATAAAGTATGTGCTTTACATGATGAACCTTTCCTGACTGAAGGCCGCAAGTCTTGTAGAGCACCACTGAGAAAGGCTGCAACTTCCTGAGGTAAGGAAAGTAGCTACAAGGACAGCAAGATCCAAGTATGTCAAGGAGAGCCAAAATTATGTTTTCACAGGATCTTTTCTTTTCAAAAGAAGCACATGAACTCAAATTAGAGATCCTGACAGCACATATTTCTTCCAACTCCAAACATTCTGTGATATTTCATGTTTTAGATCTTGACTATAAAGCTTTCTGGCAAAATTATCAATCTGCTGAGATTCAAATGAAGTATCTAGTTAATCCTGGAAGCCAGCAATACACATTTCTCCCCCCAAAAGTTTCACACGATCACTAACAGTGAAACAATCCAAGCTCTAGTTCTAGAATGTTTTAGCAAATATAGACATTAAAACAGTCAAATATGTTGCGAGTTCTTGGGTTTGTTGTAGCAGATTACAGCTATATTAACACTCCATTTAAGATACATGGGATACACACAGAGTGCTGTGACAGGTCGGGTTTAGTATTTGATAGTAGCTTGAAGTAAAAAAAATAAAAATCAACAACAAACCCACAGTATAACCAAAAAGGAAGTAGAACAAGCAACACAAGTATTTAACTCAGCGTTTTCAGTAACAACAACTCATATGCTGAAAGCTGGTAAAGACCAGACAATTCTTGTCCAAGTCATTGAGTCCTTGGCAAAAAGTTTCCACTAACACACTTTTAAGACCCTGGAGAGGTTTACAATGTGAGATCTTATTTTTTTTCCACTTCTACTCAGAAGGGCCCCAACCATATTTCAGCTCTAATCACATTAAGACTCATATGTAGAACAGCTTAATTTCCAGGTCATTGATCTCCAATGCACTGTTCAAGCGGTGTGGTCAATAAGCAAAGTTACCATGTATATTTAAGAAGCTTAAAAGAGTAGGAAAGATTAAAAAAAAATAAAAATAATTGCTCAAGAGAAATGCAAGTCTAAAAATATAAGGAAAATAATAGCAAGACATAAAGGTCCCCTATCAACAGCCAACACAAGCAGCTTAAAGGACAACTTTCATTCAGCGTATTTGCTTTAGGGCTGCCAGAAGCCTATTTTAAACAAAGCCTGATGGGGTGGACCTACAGGACACTAAGGCAAAAGATACACAATGACAGGCAAACAGCACTTAGTTTTCATGGTTGTTTGTAAACCAGGGGCAGAGGTACAGTGCTCAAGTCAGCCAGCAATGATGTGATCACTGATGGAAACAGCTAGAACAGAAATGTCCTTTCAGCTTTCTCCATTTCTACAAGTTGATTATCTCTGTAATGTTAGGTAAGTTATAGAGCCAAGTTACCTCAGATGACTACGTATCATTAAGTAACAAAACCATCAGTAAA